GCCCTGCATATATGTAGTTGAAAACCATCAGTAATAAATCTAATTGGTTATATTTATATTGTTATCGAAACTTTGTTTTTGACTGTAAGAAATGATAGGAAAATTTGCTTTTGCATTATTTATGTCAGATAATTGTGGCCTAGACAACACAAAACATCAAAACTGTCATCAATGATCTGTTGAAGTGATATGTTATTATACCCAAACAAAGTATAACAGCTAGAGTATGGTGGAGTAAAATGTACCACTGATAGTAATTAGGTAAACAGAAAAAGGAACATGACTGTACAATTTAGGGTTTCTTCTCAGCACTTTAGGGACACAGCCAAACACCCAGAATTGGGAATTTTTATGATCTTTAAGACAGATTGGGAGAAACAGACAACAATATTGTACACAGCAAAAAAGACAAAGAAATCAAATATATGGTTAATAAAATATTTCACTCTTAGGCTCTTTTAAACATTTTGAATGTAAGATAACAATTTTTTATGGCATAGTGCTGTAATATTAAATGTAACAAAATGACAATAATTTTACTTTCTGTGCCTTGAATTGGGAATTTTCTCCTTGAAATTGGGAAAAAGGATATTTTGGAACACTCAGATTCTTATCCTGTTACATAATATTAAGCATTTTTTAACTGTTATTTAATCATTGTTTGGCAAAAGTATAAGTTTGATGATGAAAGTAAAAAAGTTTTAATGTAATTTTGGTCATATTTCAGTGGTTGGTTGACCTTACAGGCTTTCCGAGATAATTTACCAGTAATCACCAGTTTCTCTTCAAGTTTAAACTGTCTACAAATACCACATGATTTAAGCATAAGTGGTGATAGAAAAATGACCCTTACACTCGCTGAGATCAAGTGTTTCACTTTTAGTAATTACATCATTCATACTGATATTTATTAAGTTAATAGGCAAAATCTTTTAGCCGTAATAAAAAATAAGATCAACAAACAAGTTGTTTGACAGTTAACACATCCCTGATTGGTATTGACTGCTCATGGTTTAGTCGAGAACGTTTAACACTCAAGTAATCTACTTTTAAAGATATTTTGCTAATTTTAGATTGGTATTTCTTTAAGGAAAATAAATATCTAGTTCATTTAGATTACAAACATCTCTCTGATAAAATCAAGTACATGTATTTTATTGATTGTCATAACTTAGATTTTTAAACATTTCCCAAGAAAGAAAATTAATACTTTTTAGCTCGACTATTCGATAAGAATAAGTAGAGCTATTGCAGTCACCCGAGCGTCGGCGTCGGCTTAACCACTTATGTTAAAATTTTTGTAATAGTTCAAATATTTTCAAAGTCCATAGACATATTGCTTTGAAACTTTGCACACTTGTTCACCATCATGACCCCAACCTGTAGACAGGAGGAGGTAACTCTATCAAGCATTTGACAGAATTTTTCCCCTTTTTCGACTTAGAATTTACGTTAAAGTTTTTGTAATAGTTCAAATATTTTAAAAGTCCATTGACATATGGCTTTGAAACTTTGCACACTTGTTCAACATCATGACCCCAACCTGTAAACAGGAGGAGGTAACTGTATCAAGCATTTTTTTTTACTATCAAGCGCTAAGAATAGTCGAGCGTTGCTGTCCTACCGACAGCTCTTGTCTATGTTTGTAATTTGTTTTTTTTTTGGGAAAAAAATGCTTAAAATAGAATCAATTTCCAATTTACATGCAAACAATTTAAGACTTTTTCAGATAATAATTGTGAAGAGAGCATATTTTAATTATCAACATTATTTATTCCTTGCATTACTGAATGTAATCATATGATCTAACAAACCTACACCTTAAAATGTTTTGAGAATCTTGGTTTTATATTTTTAAACATATTATCCAGGAGATTAATAAAACATGTACAGTAACAACTAACCAAATATGTAATTTTGTAGTAAAAAAAACAGCATGATAATATATGATAGTCCCTTTAAAAAATCTTACTTTCCTAAATACATGTATCTTGACCAGTCTTTAAATAATTTTTGTTTCCCAAACCTGTGACACATGTCTATTTGGGTCAAGAAGGTAGGCGATTTAAATGTAAAAAAAATGTCTTGCATCCAAAATATTTTTCATTTAACAGTATATCAGATTTATTAAATTTCAAAAATTGTGAATGCTTAGCATTTGTTAAGAGTTTATAACGAACCAAAGTTTCAAAGTTTTTAGTGTATTTACATGGCACAGATATGAAACCGATATAAAAAGTAAGTAACAACATTATTTAATGAGGCTAACACGTTCGGTTACCGGATCTTCCATGACTGTGGGCCTCAGGTCTACCATGTGGGTCTCAGATGTGACAGACCCTGCTTTCTTGCATATTAGACGGGATTTTCTGCTAGTTTAACCCATGCTGGAAATGTCATCTGGCATGGCGCGGGGAGGGGGTGCAAGATGAGTCATGTGCTAAACAATGACGTCATTTTAGGCTTTTTAGCACATTTTATGAATGAACTGCATTAATTTGAATGATGTCATTTCGTAGCATTTTAGAATAAAGCTATGTGCCTAGGATGATGTCTCTTCGCAATTATGAATTACATTATAAATTCATATGCTATTGAATGAAAATTGTTATGGATGAAAGGACATTAATTTCCATGTAAAAATATCTTACTGATTTAAGCCTTTTTAAATATGATAGAATATGGCAAACATGCAAGGAAAAATACCGAATATGTTTTTGGTTTGGCCCGGCAGATACCAGAAGGATGGATATTCTGATTTGAACTGAAACATGTGACAGATATTATTATTATTAATGTTTAGTAAATAAACTACATGTACTTTCCTTTTTCTTTTTTTTTTAAGCTAAATAATTTTTTTTTTAGTTAACAGTGTCTTTTATGGGTAGGAAGCAGGAGGGGAAAACAAACAATATTTTATTTAAGCTCCTTCATTGGACTTTTCCATCTTTCAAACTGGAATAACCATTTCATTTTATGAAGAAAGAATTTCTCTATTTGAGAACAGTGTAGATTTTGATCTGATCATCATACAGTGTGAATGTGCTGGTTGATCTTTGTCTATGCTGGTCACATGGCGGCCATCAGCTGTTTATACTGATACTGTTATTTTGTTTTCAGAAGAATTTATCTAAAGAAGACAATGAGACCAAGTAATACTTAAACATTTAACAACACCTATAGATTTAGCAACAGAAAATAAGTGATAACTGTTCAACTATAGCTTACATACAGTAGACATAGCCAGGTGGACATAACCAGGTTGGACATAACTAGGTGGACATAACCTTTGTGATTGGTGGTCAAACATTGATTATCATTTCTCACAGTTGATAGATTATCACAAGTAGATATAATTTATCAGAATCTAGTAAAAGATACATAGCAAAAGAGGACTTTCAGACTTTTGGACCTGTCAAACATTGAAATATAAAGATGGCTTGGTCATCGTACCAGATTGTTCTGGCCATTGTTATGGTTATAACTGGCTCCTTGAATACATTATCTACAAAGTAAGTATATTGATAGGAAAATTATATTTTTGTATATGTGAAAATAGAGAATACATGGTTGATGTCGGAATCGAAAAAGTTTATCTGATGAGTGAGAAAGTGTATCTTGGTGAGCTTTTCACAGTGATATGGATAAACTTTCTCCATCCCAACAAAAACAAATTGTGCATGTATTTGATTTATCCTGCTTTCTAGTTTAATCATGTTTTTAGATTATTAAAAGGTTTCATTCTGTCTTTTCCTCGATAAAACAGCGTCTGTATGTAGTTTTGTTTTGCTACTTAGCATGTGACATCATCAGATTAACATGTGACATAATGACTGGAGATAGATAGGCTTTATTCAGCTGACAATAGCAGGATAAAGTTATATTTGCAGGGCAATAAAATGTATTATATGTTTTGTAACAACCCCCTAAGACTGAAAGATAGTAGTAGTAATTGAGCCGTGTCACGACAAAACCAACATAATGGGTTTGCAACCAGCATGGACCCAGACCAGCCGGCACATCTGCGCAGTCTGATCAGGATCCATGCTGTTTGCTTTCAGTTTCTGTACTTGTTATAGGGTTTGTAAGTGAACAGCATGGATCCTGATCAGACTGCGCAGGCTGGTCTGGATCCATGCTGGTCGCAAACCCATTATGTTGGTTTTGTCATGATGCGGCTCGTATTTAGCTAACAGGAGCAGTGATCAGAGTTTATATTTTATGATTGCTGATGTCTGTTGGTCACCATTCTGTTTACATCTTTGTTTACAGTTACTTTAAGAAACATCTCCCAAAATCATATAGTAGATATTGACCAAATTTCACTGAAGAATTATTTTAAAGTAAGAGGCTCTGAAGAAAGTTCTATAAATTATTTTGAGCTGATAATCAAGTATATGAAGGTCACAGAAGCAAAACAACAAAAACAAAAAATAACAAGAAAAAGAACCCAGACTTTCTACAAATATATCTCAGGTGAACAAAAAGGGCCATTATATTTTTCTTGTTCAAAAATAGACCTGCTCTTCTTTAGCTGTAAGAGTCAGTTGCTGTGGTAATTGATGCACACACTACTGCTTATGAAGCAACTTCATCTTGTTTTGAGTTTGTTATGCACCCCTTCGAAGGAGAAAGGGGTATATTGTTTTGATTGTTGGTCTGTCCGTCGGTAGACCACATGGTTTCTGCTGATTATCTTGAAAACTGTTTATTTCAAAGTCTTCATATTTCACACAGTGATTGTTCATAACTAGTAGATGACCCCTTTTGATTTTGGGGTCATTAGGTCAAAGGTCAAGGTCACAGAGACCTTAAATATCAAAATGGTTTCCGCTCATTATCTTGAAAAGTATTCATCACAAAGTCGTGATATTTCACATAAAGATTGGTCATAACTAGTTGATGGTAGCTGTCACAAGGTCAAAGGTCAAGGTCAGAAGGGACTTAAATGTCAGAATGGTTTCCACTGATTATCTTGAAAGGTATTCATCACAAAGTCTTCATACTTCACATATTGATTGGTCATAACTAGTAGATGAAGCCTATCAATTTTTGGGTCACTAGGTCAAAGGTCAAGGTCATAGGGGCCTTAAATGTCTGAATGGTTTCCGCAGATTATCTTGAAAAGTATTCATCATGAAGTCTTCATATTTCACATATTGATTGATCATAACAAGTTGATGACCTCTTATGATTTTTGGGTCACTAGGTCAAAGGTCAAGGTCACAGGGTTTTGAATGTTAGTATGGTTTCCGTTCATTATCTTGAAAGCTATGTATCCCAGTCTTCATATTTCTAATATTGATTGGTCATAACTATTAGACGACCCCTATTGATTTTGGGTCACTAGTTCAAAGGTCTAGGTCACAGGGGCCTTAAATGTCTCATTATTTTGAAAACTATTTATCACAAAGTCTTCATTATTTTTCTATTTTTCCATAATTGAACACTGTATGTACCCTTATATGACAAGTATCTCAAACAAAATTACCAATAATGTGAGTCAAGGGCTAGAAAGGGGGGCATATGCGTCATTCAACATTTCTTGTTTCTATTTGTCTTAGTTTGAATTAGATTAACAATGTACAATGGATTTGAAATTTCATATACACTAATACTACTTCTTTTTTTTTACTCTAAATCAATATACATGTACAAATTCAGCCAGGAAATATATTCATATCAAACAAACACATTTACAAAAAATTGATGGAGCTGTGATCAATGTTTACATCATGTTTTCAATGTAATATAACCATTTTGTAGTTCTTTGTATTATAACAGTGCCCTTGTAAAACCTCAAAGCATTAATTTTAATGTGTGTAGTCATTTGATGAAAAAATGTCTCAAATTCATTGTTAGATAATATAAAACTTTAATAAACATGTCTACAAAATGTTAGAAAACTTGCTGGAGGTTCTCTTTATGACAATTTTTCTTGAACTTTAACTCTCACCTAGTTGGAGCCTACAGTTATGCAATATTTCAGATTCAGATAAGAACTTTGATATATTAGCTTATATGAGACTTTATTTTTAAGGTTTTATATCTACCTTTTTACACAGTCGACTCTCGTTATCTCGAAGTCACTGGGACCGTCCAAAAAATATCGAGATAACAAAATGTCGAGATAAACATATAAGGGTATGAATCATGCAGAAACCGATTTTTACAAAAGACATGTGCATACCTTATGTATAAACTATGATATCCCCATGTCTTGTTTTCATAGGCCAAGTCAATATTTAACAAAGTAACATAAGCGGATATTTACCATCTTTACCAGCGGATATACGGGTGTCTGTGATAATAACACATAGTGAGGTTTACTCAGTAATACACCAATATAGTGAAAACATTGTTTTCAGGGTGGTTGATCCGGACCTTCCGGGTTATTTATCGGTTCTTTCTCGGGATTGTTCGACTGCTGATTGATTTGGTGGTGATGTTGTGAAACAAGATTACAACAATAGCTTTTCTATACTTTCACTATTTCATTTACATTAAAAGTCATAACGAATTGCTCGTATGTTCGAATATTTATAAAAAACCTAAAATTCACTCATTTTGGACATAAGTCAATCAACACGCTAAATAGATGAACTTAAAAGACAGCTAAACTTGTTCCAAAAATAATCATCATTATGACACACGCTATTGAGCAATTATTGTCTAGTTTGTGTTTTTCACACGTCTGAAGGGAACAGACGAAAGAAAACTATAAGTCGAGATAAACAAAGGATAATAGTGTGAAAATAAATGTTGGAGCTGAAATTTTACATCGAGATACTGAAAATATCGAAATAAAAATATCGAGATAAACAAAAAATTTCCAATATAGATAAAGAAGGAAGAAAATCAGGACTTTCAACATTTCATCGAGATAACGAAATATCGAGAAAAGCAATGTCGAGATAACAATAGTTGACTGTAATAATATTAATTGTTCCTTGTCATCAAGACCTTTTATATTCAGGTGAGCAACATTATACCCATCATTGTCCTCTTGTTACAATTTTGGTAATGTCAAACTTACAGCAAGAAGTTGCTGATACAAAGTCTTACTTGATTTATAATTGAAGAAAATAATCTAAATGCATTGACTAGAAAAGACCAAGATCTGCATGTAATTTCTTGTTTATATTTAAGATGGGCAGACAGACAGTCGGCTGAGGGGTCTGATGGGACAGTCAGGAAATTTGATCATCCATTTTTACAGGTATGTATGATAATGTACATATTTTATACATTTCTAAGCTAAAGCATATGTTAAGTCGCCACCTTCATTGAAATCAAATCTAAGTTTGTGGTCATATTCTTTGCATCATTTAAATGGCTTTAATGCATAAATGAAATAATTGGGATGGGGGTCACCTACTTTGTGACATATTACCTGTCCCTGAATGTAAGTTTTATTCTTAGGTCATTTTCAAGGGAAGATAACTCAAAACTGTGGCAAGCAACACCTTTTTTTATTTTAAATTTGTGTTTTTTAGTTATTTTCCTGTCATAGTGCAACATGTGCAAAAATTCTATCATTTTTTTTTTCTATAGTTTATGAGAACTGATAGAAATTTTTATCAACTTATGTCCCTTTTATTTTTGAGAAAAATATAGTATGTTTAAACATTGAACCATAGCATCTTCTCCTGAAAGTGATGAAAATAATAAACTATAGTAAAAAATCTCACTATCAGGGGCAGACAACTTGAAAAGTAGGATGGTGACCCCAAAGTTATTTCTTCATCAGTTTTAATCAATCAAAATTTGCTTTATTGATGCAAAGTTTAAGAAAATGTTCTCGCTAGTTTAAATCTTCTTATCTTTCTTTGCCTTACTAAAATTAAGGGCTTAATACCTTAATTATAATGTTCTGTTTATATCTATTATTTATTTTTAAGCAATATATATATATTTTGTACTACTAAACATGTTTGTAATAATTATAATCTATATCTGTTACAGGCTGTGGGAATGTTTATAGGAGAGTTCACCTGTCTGGTAGCTTATTATATAATTAAGATTTGTTGTCGACCTCAACAAGCTGTAGAAGGCGAGCAGCCGAGGTCATTTAACCCGTTAATATTCCTGCCCGCAGCCATGCTAGACATGTGTGGAACCTCTATCATGTATATAGGGCTAAATCTAACTTACGCCTCAAGTTTTCAGATGTTGAGAGGTAATCATAACGTGTGGTTGTAATATATATAATGATTTACTTATATCTTTTGTCAATAGATTTTATCCGGAACTCAGCAAATGCGGATTTTTCCGAGCTTATTGCCCAATACAAACTTTTACTGTTGTAACTTCACGATGCATTTACGGTCACAATAAATAAGTCAACGCTTATTTTCGAAGGTGTAACTGTAAAAGTTTGTTTGTACCCCTGGATTAGCTGGGGTAAAATCCAAAATATTCTTAACTACGTGTTTGGCTATTACAAATCTTCCATTTAGTAGAGAGAACATTGGATTTGTAATAGAGGGGTCCTAGGTTGATCGTTGCTCAAGACAAAATTTCTATGTGATAATTGATTTCTAACATCATAATTATCTTATAGTCATTAGTTAGTTACCACTGATCCAAAAGTCATGTGTGATGAATAATAAGTACAAGTAGTTGGTCACTTGCGGAGATATTGGTATTTAGTGGTTAGTTACCCAGGAATAATGATAAATCTACATTTATTTCAAGTTTGAAATTTTTGAAAATGACGATACATTTCTCTATCACCTTGTGTAAAATGTACAGTGATTGATAAAATTTTCTATCTCCGTAATAATGAAGTACGTCATATTAGATGAGAATTTTATTGATTGCCATAACATAAATGTTAAATTTAAAAATAACAATTTCTAATGGTAGAAATTAGCAATACAAAATGCATGTTATTTTTTCAAATAAACATATGTAATATTTATTTATTATAATATTATATATTATTATATTACTGTCTTACATTACAGGGGCAGTCATTATCTTCACGGCATTATTATCTGTGGCGTTTCTAGGCCGTGTGATACGTAAACACATGTGGGTAGGAATGTTTACTGTGTTATTAGGTCTGTTGTTGGTTGGACTGGCAGATATTGTATTTGGGTCACCTGATGGGCCGAGCACAAACACTAACGGCATTATAGCAGGTACATCCTTTCTGTTAGATTGTTTTATTTGGGGCAGTTTGTACTTTTAGATTGTTTGGGGCAGTATGTTTTGTTTGGGTCAGTTTGTACAAGCATTTTTAGCTTGTCTGTTTCAAAGAAAAAAAACAAGCTAGTCAAGATGGCTGTCTTATTAGACAGATTTTGTTTGTCCGTTTACTAGTACTATTTAAATCATACCATACTGAATTTTTTATGTTCACAGCACTGATATCAAACGAAGTCCACTATGATCCAAAAGTCTAAAAATATATATGTAAAAAAATTGAATTATTACATTATTATTAGCCAGATTTGAGCTTTAACTTTTGTTCTTTTATTTTTCACAATCAGAATAATAAATTAAAATAATAAATCTGAAAAAATTAAGTGTTCAAATAATCTGAAAATTTTGATCTTATTATTGTTCTAACTTTCTATAAAGTGACATTATGCTCATTCTTTCATTGGCAAGTTGAACTGAATTGACTATATACATGTATATTTCTAAAGATTAACTGTTATACTAGTAATTGACCAACAGTTGATATTGGAATTTTTTAAAGGTAAAATATAAGTCTACTTCAATTATAAAAAAACTGTCCCACTCTTTTTATAAATTGAACATTACCTATAAATTCCAATGAGTATTTACAGAAATTTCCATGGGCTACGCATATTATTTCTCATTCATGTGAAGGAAATTATAACAATGAAAGGAATTGACATTACGCCACCTGTCAATCAAGCTGGCAGGGGTCTTACAAATAAGGCAATCGGCGATCGCTATCAGTTTCATGCTAAGATGTCTGCAAAATCCGTCATTTTCCTTAGACAAGCTATTTGTATAAGACAATGGCGCAGCAGTATTTATATTAAAATTATTTTGATTTTTTTTTCAATTTAAAGCTATTAAATCGGTATTATTATCAAAGTTTCCAACTATCCTGACATATTGACAGATGGAGTCAGTTAGTTCATTTTACAAAAAATATCATATATTTGTATATATGAAAATAATAAGTTATTTAGTAGATACAAAAGCAGAGACATAGATATTATCTAGATGTTGTCTACATCTCTGACAAAAGTTAATATAGAGAGTAATAAAGAATCCCTAAAGATTTAAAATGTTGCCAGCTCGGTTTGATTGAGTCTGTTCATGAACTGTAATGGAAAGTGCAAGTAACTGTCCTCGCCCCCTGGCACCGGCTTAAGCTGCATTCAACATTTAACGTGACCTTTTTGAATTTTGAAACATCCGCAGATGTGTTCATATGATGGTTATCATGGAACCTTCAATGTGGAAGTGCCATTCCATGAAAAGCGGCATAAGGTCCCCAAGTGAAAAAATGCATGTGCCCTAAATGAGAAAACAATGGGCGGAACTAAATAAAATGGAATTTTGAATGGCGTTCAGAGGTTATAAAGCCTGGCTATACCACAATGCATTGAACAAAGGAATAAATTAAACAAATACTCTATTCCTTCCTTTATTACAATGATGTCTATTCATAGTCACATAATATATTATAAGGTCTGATATGACATTTTTGTTTGTTCTTAACATAGTGTCAATAAAATGCTGCAGTAGACAAAAGTACTTGCAAATAAAATGAGAGAATATGCTATGAATATTGTATGTGATATAATCCTACCTAAATATTTCTATTAAAGCTCAATGAATTAAGATTAAATATTTCGATACATCTGCTTCAATAACATCATACCTGATCACGTTTTTAATTTAAAACTGAGGTCTCACCGTCTGGTGTATGCTAAACTTATTTTGAAGTGAATAATGCAACAAAATGTATTGCGTTTTATCACAAAACATATCCAATGTATAAATATACATATAATCATATAAGTTACGCAAGGGCAATTTTCTCATAATGATGCAATTTTAACAATTAATGCACAAATGCATTATATATAAATGATTTAGCACATAAAACCCTAAAAACATTTGTAAATGTTACTGTGTTATTGATATAATTTTACTATTTATATGTTCCTCTACTTAAATTTTAACTTTCTTTGAATTTGTAAACTAAAATGATATTTTGTCGGTAACATCTTCCTTGAATTCAACAAGAAATATAACAAGATCTTTGCCAACCGTTTTATTCATAATTAATGCATGAATGAAGTTATTTGTTACTTTTGTTTAAATACCATAATACATTAAACTATTCAAGAAAAGCATTAAACTTTTGTATATACCAATTATATAAGGTAAATTCATTAGTAACTTTAGTGGCAAAATAGTTTCCTGTAAATGTCGGTACCTTGTTTTGTCTAAGGTTTTGAATGACCGCGTCACGTGAATCAGTGGGCGGAGCAATCTCTTCTCTGGCATTATGTCAATTATGGCAAAAAAAAACCAACTTATTTTGACTCGCCTGTTCACTCACTATATACCCTTGGATGGACATAAATGTCACTTTAACATGTTGATCCTGTCATGTGAAAAACTTGAGTGAAGCCCATTTAAGCAAGCAACAGTACAGGGCCTTATCAGTAACACAGTCATTCAGCTAGATATGCAAGTCTTTATTGTCGCTGAAGTATAAATTCAATCTCCCAAGCAGTGATCTCCCCTTGTCAGTACAGAGATAAAATCAATCTCCTACGCAATAATCTCCCCTTATCACTACAGAAATCTCTGCCATCACAAACATTTAAATATCAATATTTTGATATTTTATATTTTTTTAACTTTTTAATTTATTTTTCGTTATTTTGTATACTTTTGATAATTTTTTTTATTAAATATAACAGATGTAAGTACAAAAAGTTAAAAATAAAACAGAAAGAGAAAAATGACGTTAGATTTTCTATGTAACGGTCGATTATTAATGATTTACATTTGTATTTCGCAGTTATGTCATGTGACTTTCATCATTATGTCAATTTATGTGACATCTTTGAAGGCAGTGATTACAATTCTGCCAAGGGAGGTAATCACTGAGGAGTTAGGTATAAAATGTTAATATATTGTAGGTGATTTACTGATCATTATGGCTCAGGTGATAGTCTCAGTACAGATGGTGTATGAAGAACGGGTGATCGGAAGATTTAATGTACAACCTCTGGCAGCCGTCGGATATGAAGGTATTGTCTCTATTTCTATTGTTAAAGTGAAAATTCTTATTATATATGATTTGTATGTATGAATGCATTGGTATGACAATAAGCTGTATACTTAAATTTTAAATAAACTTCTGTTCTGTTTTGTTCTATTCCTCATTTTGTTACATTCACCAATAAGTTGAGAGTGTAAAAATCCATACATACATTGCGTACTCATTTCATCACCTTAGTGCAGTAACTGGTTAACTCTATATATAAGTTAATAGGAGTTAACGTATTACTGCACTAAGGTGACAACTTTAGTCCAAATTACTGTAATTACTGCAGTGTACTTACATATATTACTTATTTATGGCAAAATCTGTGTCTCCAAGCAAGATTTTGACCTATAACACAAGTATCATAGAATCAGATTATTTTAACTACTTCTCATCTTTATTTACATTAATGCAGCCTGGAGAAGAAAATGAATGACAAACCCAATATTTCCTCTCGTTAGTGGTCTTGACCTTTTTCTAGCAATGTATTTCAGGTGATCGATCCAGGGCCATCATGGCCCTCTTGTTTTATATTTTAAGAATAACAGGAGTTTTTTTATAGCCAACTATGTACAGATCTACTGAAATGTGTGAAGAAATATAAAGTACAAGTATTAACGGTACAACAAATATATGCCTTTTAAAATAACTTTGAAAAAAAACAACTGTACAAACAGTTCTTTTCCTTGGTCCACTGATTAAAGTAGCGGAGTTCTTAGGGCTTCTTAAGCAAGACAGTGGGCAGTTTAATTTAAAGTGACAGCTATATTAATTCTGTGCTTGGTTTTCAGGACTTTTCGGGGCCCTTGTTTTAGGATTATTGTTGATACCTTTTTACTACATTGATGCTGGAAGTTTCAGTCATGCGGCAGGAAATAGACTAGAGAACGTACACGATGCATTCGTACAGATGGGAAACAATTGGAGAATCATTTTAGCTACAGTTGGTAAGAGGAAGTAAAAAAAGTAAATGAGCCGCGTCATGACAAAACCAACATAATGGGTTTGCGACCAGCATGGATCCAGACCAGTCTGCGCATCCGCGCAGTCTGATCAGGATCCATGCTGTTCGCTATCAGTTTCTCTACTTGTTATAGGGTTTGTAAGCGAACAGTATGGATCCTGATCAGACTGCGCGGATGCGCAGGCTGGTCTGGATCCATGCTGGTCGCAAACGCATTATGTTGGTTTTGTCATGACGCGGCTCAAATGAATAGTATGTTACAGTATCATAGTAAAACAATGAAAACAGAGGTAGATGGACATATAAATTATATCAGAAAGTGGTGGTCTTGGGATTGATATGTCTGCATTTTTAGCTCGACTTTTCTATGAAAAGGGGAGCTATCCTACTCGCCCCGGCGTCGGCGTCGGCGTTGGCGTCGGCGTTGGCGTCACACCTTGGTTAAGTTTTTCGTACCACCCCACTTTATTTCAGAAGTATTACAAGTATGGCTTTGAAACTTACCATACTTGTTCACCATCATAACCTCCATCTACAGACAAGAGTACATAACTCTGTCAAGGTTTTTGACAGAATTATGGCCCTTTTTTGACTTAGAAAGTGTATTGAGCTTGGTTAAGTTTTTTGTACCACCCACTTTATTTCAAAACCATTGGAGGTATTGCTTTGAAACTGACCATACTTGTTTACCATCACGACCTTCATCAACAGACAAGAGGACATAACTCTGTCAAGGTTTTTGACAGAATTATGCCCCTTTTTGACTTAGAAAATACATTGAATATGGGTAAAATCCACTTATTGCCTTAACCCTTTGAGATATTGCTTTGAAACTTTTAATGCTATTTCACATCATTACCCCCATCTGTACGCAAGAGAAGGTAACTCTGTCAAGGATTTGTTTTAAAAATTAAGGCCTTTTATCGACTTAGAATCTTGGTTAAGTTTTTAGTACCAGTCCACTTTTTGACTGAACTGTTTGAGATATTAATTTGAAAGTTGGAATACTTGTTTACAATCATGATTCCCAAACATGTCCAGGAGAAGGTAATTCTGTCAAAGATTTTATTTGAATTATGGCCCTTAACTGTCAATGTTTTGTATTATAGGCAAGCACTAAAAAAGTCGAGCGCGCTGTCTTACGGACAGCTCTTGTTTTCTGAGGTCCAGTCATTCCAAAGGGGTTCAGTTCATTTTTTTCCTGGTTTGTCCAGGAAAGAGGAGTTAGATATAATGAATTTAAGTAACAAAAACTAGTTTTAATATCATTGATAGATATACATGTATAATATTTCTTTCAGATCATTTATAGTTTTATATTAAATTGTCATTTGGAATACAGAAAACCGATACGATATCTAACTTTGTTACGCTGATAAGCATTAGTTAAAAGATTTCAAGATACATTTAATATTCTTTATTCATTGTTGAATTTTTCCTCAATTCTCATAAAGTATGTTATTGTTTTACACCCAACATATGTGATTTCTCGTTCATTTTGTAAAAAAAAAAAAACAGGAAAATTCAAATCAGCAACTCAATCAGTGATAAAACTTTGAAACATACATGTAGTGACTGTATCTTTGAGAATACTGTTACTTACCAGGTTTTGTTACTCATTGAAGCAAAAAAAAATATTTTCTCCACATGTAATTTGTTATCAAAAAATGTTTTCTTCTGACACAGGTATTATAATGTCAATATTTTCTCCTCCCCAGGTAATATAATGAGCATAGCATTTTTCAATTTTGCTGGTATCAGTGTTACTAGAGAGTTGAGTGCCACAACAAGGATGGTGTTGGACAGTGTTCGAACACTGGTCATCTGGGCTGTAACACTGTCACTTTCCTGGCAGGATTTCCAATATTTACAGGTATTTAACCTCTTGATCTTGTTTGGTGAAATATCTTTCAACATTATTTCAACTACTGAAATGTTAAATGATAAGCCCTTTGTCACCAGCTTAGAACTTGACCAGTCTGTACATCTGAGCAGTCTGACCAGGCCCTATACTGTTGGTTGACAACTTAAAATTTTTCTTTTGATTTCCCCCAAAATTGATGTGATTGACATTTTCAAAAACAAGTCAGCTGGACAAATCCATTTAGAAACAATATACAGTATAGGCTAATGTGTTTAGCCATATATTTTTACACAATCTGTTAGATAGCCCATGTAAACATACATTCATGTATTATTTCACTTGTTACCCCATACCCTTTGAGGTATTGCTTTGAATCTTTGTGTATTTGTTAGTGACCATTATCCCCACTACCAGGCAAGTACTTACAATAGTCAAGCAGGCTGTCTTACAGACATCTCTCGTTATACTACAGGAGGCAGAAACAATTTGTGTATATTTTAGGTTGTAGAGTATATATAACTGGTTGCAGAATAAATTTGATTTGTTTGATTCAGGTTGTAGGGTTTTGATATTACTGCACGTTTGGAACGACCTTTTTCATTGGATAATCGTGACTTTTATATAGTTTCATATACAAGGCTGTTGTCCATTCATGAAGAGATCTTACTTTTTTCTCTAAAAAATGATGTTTGCTGTATTATAAATTCATTATAAGGATTGTTGACAGGTTATATGGCCGTATATAAACGGCTGTTTGCAATCGCCAAGCAGCTCGGGTTATATTTACAAACAGCCATTTATATAGGGCCATATAGCCTGTCAACAATCTTTATAACTAATGATATAACTGATTGCTAGGACAATTTTGTGTATTATATTTCAGGTTGTAGGGTTTATATTGCTGATACTAGGAATGATGTTATACAATGATATTATCATCATGCCATGGTGGAGACGTAGACGTGAGATGAGAGAGGTCAATCAAAATGATAGGAACATTGGCGAGAGAGAAAGACTCCTGGGTAATAGAGGTAATAGTCTGTAATTTAAATATTTAATGTGCAAAATACTAGTTTTTTAGCAAAGATCATTATAGAAATGATGCCAGTGACTTCCTTGACGACATATCAGTGTTACGGGGGTAGTTTAAAAGACTAGTCAGCTTTTTGTAAATATGATGTGACTGGAAGTGGTTAATTGTTAAATTTTCTGCAATATTGTTGTAAAAGGATGATGAACATTTAGCTTTCTACTACATGTAGAAGACACTGTTACCTATGTTGCTGAAAGATTGATTTGGAAAATAATAAAATTAAGCATGGTCAGACACACACTGTGAAATGGACTTTGGCTTTTGATATTTTTTTACTTTCAGTTTTTAATTGAAATTAATTTAAGAACAATAAGCCAAACTTATGTAACCAGCAGCATGTGACCAGGTCATACAACTCTGATGTACAACTTTTGTCTAGTGATTGGTTTATACAGAATTTATTTTAGTTTGATTGTGTAGGAAGCTATGAGCTTATAGACACACTTTCTAGTCATTTCCTGGAACCAACCAGTACTAAGCAATGAGTGTAAAGTTTCTTGCTCAAGGAAACGACGACATGCCCCTGACAGGGTTTGAACTCATGCAGCTAGCGATGATTAGATTACTAAGTCTGATGCGTTAACCACTCGGCCGTGTTGCCATGTCACATCAAGTCTAGGTTTATACTGGTGATTGCATATCCATTGCCTTAACAATTTTATCATTAATAAAAAGAATAAGGAAAGTGAAACACATCATTGTGTAAAAAAAATAGCTTTTCATTTTTCTGATCTATTTATGTTGTAGTGATATTTTATTATTAGAACTCTTTCTTTGTGATATTGTGGGTTGACCACAAAACTGCAGTAACTTGTATGAAATAAAGACGGACATACAACAGTTTTGCGATCAATCATCAATATAGTTGTGAGTTGATTATATATGATGTCATGACTATTTATAGAAATATTTCTACTTTTTGTTTTTCCAGATGATGGCCATGCTGTAAATTAACTTTACCTTGACAACCGTGCATATGACAACCATACATATGAAACTGTTGGTCTATTACATGTGATAACACAACTGACATACATTTCATTCTACTAATTCTACTAAAAGCACCATAATAAGTCATTTCATAAGGCTACAATGAAATAACCTTTGGTACTAGAGACATTTTTAGAAAGTATATATGACTGTCTCCATATGGTGTCTGGATATTTTTTATATAACTATATTATTATTTCAAATTTAAATGTATGATGGAATTCTCTTTAGATAAAAGCACATTCCTTTACATGAAATAGTTATAAATAACAATTTTCACCCCAATTTTGATACTGATTTTAATTTGTTATATACCTATTGCTTGTTGGTATATGAAATAGATAAAAGCATAAAATATTGGATGTTACAAGGATAAGTCCTACAACTTAGAAGATAATTTAATTTTAACTTTTAAATGGGGCAGATAAGCTCTGGTCAGATTTCATTGTTATATAGGCTTTTTTCTCCTCTATATAGCAAATTCTGGCAATGTTGAGCCCTTCATCACCAACAAAATTTTCAGGTTTACTTAACAAAAAACAATTTTTTATTTAAAAAGCATTTTTTATTTAAAAAGCATGTTTTTTATATATAAAAATCAAAATGCATTTAAATGAAGACTAGTCGAAAAATTAATATGTATTTTTCTAAATCTGGAAAAATTCAGGGGCCCTAACATGCTGTTAGACACCTTTATTCATATAATTTTGTGTTTTATTTAAATAATTTTGTGTTTTATTTGAATGAACATTCCTATTAATGTTGAAGAGTCTAATGCTGGCAATAATTGATATATTTATTACTTATCTATTACATTATGTTAGTTTTTGAACAATCATTGACTCTCTGTTTGTTTCATCTAGCCCCCATCGAAAGATCTCTCATATTAATACTCATTACTTTAGCTACAATTATAAGACATTCTATATTTGAGCCGCCTCACGACAATACCAACATATTGCGTTTGCGACCAGCATGGATCCAGACCAGCCTGCGCAGTCTGATCAGGATCTATGCCGTTCGCTTACCAACTCTATTACAAGTAGATAAATTGATAGCGAACAGCATGGATCCTGATCAGACTGCACGGATGCACAGGCTGGTCTGGATCCATGCTGGTCGCAAACGCACTATGTTGGTTTTGTCGTGACGCGGCTCATTTGTTACTTATCTCTGGCTTAGGTGCCAGATTTTTACAAGAGAGTTCTAGTTTTACATATTTGTTTACTCCCTTTTGATTACATACAATGTATATCAAACATTTTGCAGTAAACACATTGTTTTTCACTGTGTAAAGATTATAAAGGGGATTTAGCTTATATTGTTTTGAAATTTTGTGATGTATATTAAGTTTATAAATATCAATTTGGGTTTAGTCAAATGGGATTTAGATATCAAGGTGCTGTAAAGTGTTTACATGGATGTACTTTACAGTATAGTGTATCTATAGGGTTATCTGCTAAAGCACTCAACTTGCATGGGGTAATAGTAAACTGCTTATGTGTAATAAAGGGTTAAGAAATCAAGATTTGTCCCTATGTTTATTTATAAGCTGGGCACCAGTATATGTATAAATTTTCAAAACATAGAACTTAAAAAAAGATAAAAAAAAAAATATTAAAGAATATAAGAAATAAATGTATGCATCAAGATAGTGTTGAACAAACATGAACAATTCAAAAGTATAGTGAATGTGATTTTGTTTAACATATTTTGTGTATGATTTTTCTATTTTTTTCCTAATTAATATTTTCTATTTATATTATTGTAAAATTTTGCATTTGTAATTTAATTGTTATAATATTATTATTTATTCAGTGTGCAATTTGAATGGCTTGGCTATTTTGTAAAATAGTGGGAGCTATCAGACTCATTGTTGTGTTAAGTTTATATAACACATGGTTATGGTTTTTTATGTGTATATTTATATCTCAAACTCCAGGATCATAATCGTTGGTCACTGTCCAAGACCCATAACTGTAACAAAAATGTTGTCTGAATTGTACCCCTTGGTTAACTAAGAATGAGATTTCATACCTGATATAAGGGTGATTATTATAAGCCGCTGACCAAGATAAACTATTACTATGTGATGAATTTAAAATGAATTATTACATTGTGCACTGAAAACATTGGAAAGTGAAGGTTGTTGTATGCAAACCGCAACTACTGAATGTATTCATTTGAAACTTTATAAAACTATAATTTCAAGGTTATAATTGTAAATCCTTAATGGGAATTTCTTTAAGGTGACAACAGACACTTTCCGTGGTAATCACATAAATGTCATTTAAACCAACTTATTTTAAAAATAATTGTTATTTATTTAATCTTTGTGCATTAAATGTCGTTGATCATCATAAAAAATAACATATTTGAAAAAAATGTCTTTGTAAATGATTGATTTTTAATAAAAATCCTAAAATTTTAAATCGTCATATCAAAGTCATTTTTTATTTTTTTGTCATCAAACTTTTGGAAAATAAACATACTTATAATATCTGGGGAACCGTGTCTCAAATTTTGTCTATCTTTTCTCAAAGAAATATTACGTAACGTCAAACATTTTATGCGACTTTTTTCACCATACATATTACGTAATTAAAGATAATTAAGTCGCTGATTGAGCAAACAAAAATCCCTGACACGGTTCCCTCCGTAAATGAATTCCCTTTCATGTGCTTTAAACCGCATGTTAATTGCTTGATTATTAAAAAAGTTATGCCGATTCAAATTTAGTCCGATCCGCATCAAACGAAGTGTCATAAATTGGCTGTTCTCTCTCGGACCCCTACGTTTTCACGCTAAATAATTACATAATACACAA